ACGGTACGGAGGAGGAGGAGGAGGGAGGAGGGGGGGAGGACGGTGGGTGCAAAGCCCCTTTCCGAAATCAACCCTTTCGGTGCGACGGGCTCGGCGGGCGCGAGTGTTTCGCAGGCGCTCGAATGATTTAATCCCCGAATGATGGACGGGCACGTCGCGACGATGATCTGCGTGCCGTGAAGTGACAAGTGGTTAGGATCACGCGGAAACCTCGGTGGCTCGCTCTCCGGCCGCGATGGCGGCTCTGCGTGTCGGTGCCGGGGCGAACCGGAGGCCCGCCGGTCGGTGGATGGATTTTGCGGCGGATAGAAGAGGGGTTGTAGGATGGGTATACGGATAGGGGGGTTGCGAGGGGAGGAGACTACGAGCTCTCGCACCATACAAATCATGTCGGCATTACTGCGTCAGGCCTGGACTCAACTTGTCGCGCAACCGGAAACTCGATACCGCCGCCGTCCGGTAATACTGATTTATCGGAAGTGCAGCAGCGACGGTCGTAGGCCGCCGGCGTCATCGGCGCCCGTTGCCCGCGCTGCGTTTTATGTTTTTACCATACGTGATGCGCGCGATTTTTCCGGCTAATCGAGAATTACGGGTTCACGGGTGAGTAGCGTCGCGCGAGCCCCCTTCTCCCCCTCGATTTCCAGCGCGTCGAAACGCGTTCGGGATTCCCGCGATAAAACGCAGTGACCGCGAACCACGGTCCGGCACGATTTTCCTTTTTTTTTTTCTTTTTTTTTCAAAATACGGTCTGGATGTCCTACCTTTCGAGATGTTTGACAATATCTTCATAGGCAGCTCGGCAGTTTTCCCAAACCGTCCCGGACCTGTGGAACACAAAACAAAAGGCGGTTACGACACGGACAAAATAGAAAAGAAAGCCTAAGCCTCGGCCGGAAACAACGTAAACGAAAAAGGGGAACGAAAGGAGAAACGCGTCGGCTCGCGTCGCCGCAGGAATCGCATATAATCGCGAGACGCCGTCCTCTGTACGAAAGAACACGCTTGATTAAGAGTCCTCGTTTCGTTCCGTCCCGTCTCTCTCGGCTACGTCGATTCGAGATTCGACCGCTGCCGAACGCACCGAGAATGAAGAGCCTTTGATGTCGCTGATTAAAAAAGAGATGTCAGTGCGGCGAGGAGCGGAGTTAATTTGTGACCTAGGAACGCGGCGGTCGCGCGGGAAAAGACGAGAGGGAAGGAGCGGATAAGTTAATCAGGAGGGACCTTCGCTCGCGGAGTATAAAAATGAAACGGAAATCAGGCGGCATCGAACTGCGCGCCCGAGAACGTCCTGCCGTAAGTACATCTCTCCCGTCGACTAATGTCAATACGCCTGACACGGTTTCCACGGTCCCGTTGACAGTTTGCGTATTTGCACAGCGGAAAATGGACCTCGATGGGGAGGCGGGGAGGAAGAGCAAAGTGTAGGCAGATAGGAGAGCCGTACGTGTCATCCGTGGAAACTGGTCGAAGAGGTCACGCGGGGGAGAGGTGGACGGAGGGGGATGACGGAAGGCCGGGGTGAAGAAGGAGATACGGCGAGTTAAGGGGTGGCGACAAGGCAGGACACGGCGGGTCGACGGGGGGACGCGGTAACGGCGGTGGCGTCGGTGTCCCAGGATGGGGTTGCGTTGAATTAATCATATTCCGCTGTTTGTCGTGGCGCCCCCAGACGTAATCCGTCTTACCTCCCGATCTCGCTCGGCTCGCTCGCTCGCTCGCTCGCTCCTCCGTCGCGATAGATTTGCATTTTAATTAAAAGCAAAGCGCTGAAATCATAATGCGAAACGTGCGGCGCCGCCTTCGCCGTGTCATTATACACGCCCGCGCGTTTGTGCGTGTACGCGCGCGTCCGCCGACCCGCACACTCGCAGCGCGTCGCTCCAACACACTCGCCCGCACGGACGTACGCCGCGTCGTCGTTAAGAAAGATTGAGACGCGTTAAAAATCCGGAGCGCTGGCTCTGCATTAAAAAATCCCGAGCCCAGCGCCGCCGTCGGGTTTTTACATTCAAAGTGCGTATCAAGATCCCGCTCGGCGATGGGAAAAATATTCCTTAACGCGTTCTTGCTTTCCCTTTGTTTTTTTTTTTTTCTGTCCCTTTGTCTTCGACCTTCGTCCGGCTCCGACCTATCTCCGGACGAAGGACCGTTTCTCGACGTATCGTTTTCGTAAAACCGACTCGGTGCACGCAACGAAGAAACGATCGAATCCCTCAGTCTGCCGCTAAGTCCCGATTTTCCGGGCGCGCGCCATCCAAAGCGAACGCTCGGGCAAAGGGGGTAATGGTTAGCGGGATGAGGCTAATTACACGGGGCGGATGTAATCGAAAATTAAGGCGAGTCTCCGTATCCTCGAAAGCTCCAGCTGGCTACGGGAGCGCTACGCGGCGTGCGGTGAACAGGAGGCGGGGGGGGGAGGGGGGACGTACCAAGAGCATCTATTAGAAACGCGTTAACAAATGCCGGGATTAGCCTCGTGTCTACCCCCTCGAGCAAGAACGAGGATGCCGCTACCGTGGGCGCTTCTCTCTCTCTCTCCTC